CGCCCGGCACGGCCTCTCTGAGAGCCCGGCAGAAGGCGACTGAAGTAGAAGCGCTTGTCCACCTGGCGCCCCACCAGGCGCAGCGAGATTGCAGTTTGCAGAAAACCATACTAGTTGCAGACGATCAGTGTTGGCCATGCGAGTGGTTTCGCGGCACGCTCTTCGTGGAGGAGGAAAAATGTCTTGCGAACTTTGAGCGCTCTCCGTTTCTTGAGGGATAGAGTGACGGCCATGGGGCCTCGGACCATTGCTGCTGACTGTGGAGACCGTGCACTTGTGTGTTGACGCGAGCTGTGAAGAAACATCTGACCTGCCCGGATTGGGTGGTGTTCTAGTCAACCAGACAGGGACAACATGCAACTACTTCAGTTTGATGTTGACTAGTGATGAGCTCGCCCACAGGCAGTCTGAATCCCATTTTCAAACTTGACTGCGGTGTACATCGCGCGGTGGGAGAGCGAAGTCGGAATTCCGACCTCGGGGGCGCGGCTCGGCAGGCTGGCGTCCCAGCCTTGCCCGGCCCGGGATTCCGGCCTGACAGGGCGTCAAAACCGTCAAAAGCGTCAAGTGTCAAAAGCCGTCAAAAACCTCGAAAAGATCAAGTGCGGAAGAGCGGCTGGAGCGCCTCGACACGTCGAAAACAGCGAACATCTCTGAAAAAAAAGGCCACGAGGCACTTTGACACTTTTGACGGTTTTGACACTCTATCAAATCGGAATTCCAGTGTCTGATTTGCTTCGAGGCAGTCCGATTTGGCAGAGCGTCAAACCGTCAAAAGCGTCATGCCTCCTGGCCCGAAAAGGAGCCGGAATCGGCTCTACAGGCTGGCGTTGAGGCTTCGATGCCAGGCTGGTGCTGAGGCTGCGATACCAATTGTTGAGTCAACAGGAAACGACCTCGTTTTGCGAAGGATTCGAAATCTAAAATGCTGCGTGCAGGCGTGTGGCTGCAACAAAACGACCCCTAGATATGTGCTGCAAGTTGCCTCCAAGTTGCATTTCAGCAAGGTCGAGGTTTGCCAAAGGAAGCCCCTTTTCCCTTTTGTTTCGGGCCCCCTTTTTTTGGGACCCCTTGTTTTTCTTTTTTCTTCTTTTTTTTCTTAGCCCTGCAAAGCTCGGCTTGCTGAAATGCAACTTGGAGGCAACTTGCAGCGCGTATCTAGGGGTCGTTTTGTTGCAGCCACACGCCTGCACGCAGCATTTTAGATTTCGATTCCTTCGCAGGATGAGGTCGTTTCCTGGACGGACGAGTGTCAGAACCCTCCCAGGTGCAATAGAATCCGTTTGGGGAATAGCCTCTAAAGAGAGAGCCGACGAAGTATGACCAGGCGTTCGCGACAAAAATTGAGCCCGTGCGAGGCAAGAACCGGCAAGCCAACGCGCCGCTGAACAACTAAACCAACTTGAAACACATGGGAAGCCGGGTTCGAAAAACTCGAAATTCTAAGACTCCCAATTCCGACCTTGGGAGTTTTCCGCAGTGTCATCTGTCCAAGGGCACTGCAAGAACGCTTTTTTGGAAAGTGCGAACGTGTGAATTTTTCGTTGTGCTTTTTGAGCGGAACCCCATTGCTGTAAGGACGTATTTTGGCATAAACTCCAAATTCCGAGCTTGGGAGTTTCTGTCGCTTTTTCAGGGGTCAAGAAAATATGTTTGAAGGATTTGTCACCGGGAACATCCCAACGGAGAAGTCCACAAGCGCGGCTGGCCCTGCAATCGCACCTTTAGCTCCGACGGCAGCAGCCCTCGCCGGGAGCCCCAACGGCTTGGACCTAAAGCTGTCAAAATAATGCAGCACCACGGCGCCATGGCTTTCTTCGGTAGATGGGAGGTGGACACCAAGAAAGCAAATGCCCTGCTTTGCCACTGAGGCCTTTGTCGCAGCGCAGCTTGTGCCGGAACGCCAAGGCGCCGCAAACCTTGCTGGATGCGTCGGAGTGGGTGGGTAAGCCTGCCACGGAAGAGGCGCGTGAGTAAGCCCGATTTCTTCCCTACAGCACACTTGGCCTGCCTTTGCGGCGCTCAGGGCGCGTGGGTTCAAGCCCAGAAAAAAAAAGGTTGTGGCGAGTGGTTGGACTGCGCCTGGGTGCGGCTGGGAGAAAGACATGGAGGTTGTCACCGCCGGAGCTTCGAGGTAGCCAGCACGCAAATTTTTACAAGTTGATGTTAGCGGTATCCGCTCGCCTTGCGCACAACTATAACGCCTACTTTTCAGGCCCGACTTGCTGATGAAAGGAAACCTGGCAAGTGAGCTTCTTCATACTCTCAAGAGAAATAGGGGTGATTCTTGTTTGTACGGATCCTTCCCGTATACCGGTGGAAATTGCAACACCACCTCCCATCGCTCTCAAGCGTTCTTCGTCACAATACTCTGCAGCTCCATAGATAGTAAAGAAACCTGACTGATACGTGTGCGTTTTTTTGTTTTCCTCAATGAGGATCTCACCTAACTTGACTTTCTGGCAAAGCTGATCATCACAGCGTTCTCGTGCAATGCTAAAAGGCTACCGAAGTCAATGACTTGTTTGAAAAATAAAAAAATAACTCATGTCGCACACCGTTGAAAACAGCATCTCCAGCCTGAAGGGTGTCAAGTGAGAATTGAATGGTCCTGCCTGCCTCAGTGTCGTGCGAGACGAGGTTGTGCAACGGGGTCCTTTTGTTGACCTGTGACACTGATTTCAGCTGAACAACATCCGCAAAAGAACGGATGTCTTCGAAAAAAGACTTATCACAAATGTTGTACTGCTGAAAGTGGCATGTGAAGGAATCAGGGGGATGCTCCTGAGTGCAGAGCACAATGTCACAAGCCTCAATGGACATGCTGATGACGTCTGATCTTCTCCCCATTCCCACGTGACAGCAGGTCCAAGAGTAGCTTCCGTTATAACTCTATATGTCTGTCGGGGGCATCTCACCAAGAGCTGAGTGACCAGTTCATCAGGGTTGACAGGCGCCAAACTTCATGCAATGCTTTTCACCAGGACACCACTCTTCGAGTCCCTGTCCTTGGAATGGCGTAGAAATTCATCCATTTGTTCAAAACACATAAGATGTGTTTGCATGTGTCCATGGCCTGCCCGAACTGTAGAATCCAGGACAGCCTGCGAAGGTGCTGCACTGAAAACGTAGATGCTCTCCACCTCCGCGCCCAAGCAGGAGGCAATTCATTCTGAAAAGCTTTATACTTGGCGAGCAGGTCCTTGGAAAGGCGTCTTGCCGCTGTCATAAACGAGGAAATGTGTCGGATAAGAAGAAGCTGCAGGTGCAGCTTGCTTCAATGACATGGTCTGTATCAAGCGCTTGACGAGAGCCTTCATGCAGCCAACTCGGTCGAGTGCTCCGCCTTCTGCAGTCGCGGCATTGGCGGCGATGCCAAGGTGAAGTTGCCGTGCGTATGGAAGAGGTGAGTTGTGCAAGAAGTACGGCTTCTGCCATGTCTCGGGCACAAGGGACAGGTTATCCGAGATTTGTCTAAGCCAAAAGCTTTGCCAGCCGTAATGTAGCAGGAAAGCAATTGGAATCTGTTCTGTAGGGAGGCCTGCGATTTGGTGTTCCTGGCTCCAGGTCGTGGTGCTGGGGAGTTGAGACCGAAGACCACAGTGGTGTCAGTGGTTGGAGTCTGGAACGAAAACGGTTGGCTGGGCAGGTGGTGCCCGTCTGAGTCAACGGGTGCAGTGCAAGAGTTGGGTGGGCTAGGTGTGATGGGTGTAGTGGCCGAGAGCACGGAGTAGAAGGTGGATCGTGTGAATGAGGACGTTGAAGAGCGTTGGGTCGAAGTGGTTCAAGAGATGAAGGTCTGTCGTAAGGACCAGGTCGTGTGGATCCGCAGGATCGTGCCATGGTTGGTCGCCAGAGTGGTAGGTGATTGGAAACCATTAGGCAGGCCGAGGGCCTGCCTGGTTTGGGCTCTCACGGAACGTCCACCAATCCCAAAGTATCTGGCCAGGGACCTGGCCGCTTTGAGGGTTTCAAAGCACTTGGCAACAAGAAATTGAAATCAATTTGAGCCGGCCGACAGTCCAAACTTGATGTACCCGGAGTTGCGAGTCGTCCTCCTAGGGGCCTGGAAATTTTGGAATGACAAGGAACTAAATTAGCGCGATTTCAATGCCCTGTCGGCTTTTTCCAAGCCGCTCTTGCCAACGAGGGCGTCTAGACAATCAGACACGGAAGTTGGGGATTGTCGTTTGACTCAGGCCCTAGTCTAGGCAGGATTCGAGGGGTCTAGCTGGCACGCAGATCTGTGTCTGTCATGTTTCTACACCAGCAGAAACCTCAGGAATGTCATCAAAAAACGTTGGGATGACAGCGGGTATGATTTGGCTTCGCTGCTTGTTGGATCTGAATATTCTTTTGTTTCGGTGCTATGGCTGCTTTCAGGCTTGGCCGGAGCTGACTTTTCGATGTGTTTGTTTTTCTGCCATGCAGCGGTATCAATCATCATTTGCTTCAAACTTTTGACTTAAACATCATTGAGATGACTGATTGAAACGACTTGCTCTAGCAACATTTGTGCCGTGGCACTTCTTGTTCACATTTGCACGCCGCTCGGTATCACGTGGATCTGTTTATCAGGACGGTACGGGATGCCAAATTTTCACCGAGATCGGTATCCCCATTGCATCATTCCAACTGGCTGAACAATTGCCTGTGTTTTAGTGTCCCCAATCTGTTCGCGATGTTTCGTTCTTCAAAGAATTCAGGTTTTCTGCGGGTTTTGCTTCGCTCAATTCAACAGCTTGACCTGACCAAGGTTGAACAACATTGAAGGTGCATTGATGGAATTGACGTCACCACACCGAGCCGCCCTTACTTTCCGCAGCGTCTACATGGAAACATGGCATCCACATGTGTTCACATGCAGGAAGAGCATTTTTGGTGGTCATGAGGGGTTAGCACAGACGGCATCACCTTGGTGGAGAACTTCAACCGGTCCAGGGCAAACCGCGGGGTTGGGCAACAGCAACCGAGCAGTATGGAATCCCAAAAAGCACGCTTGGGTTGCACCATCTCGACCTGGGTTGTCGCATATCATGGATGGTGCACAGGCCGGGGATCTATTTTTTCCAGTGTTGCGCATGCGAATCAAGAGAGGGGAAAGAGACTCAAAGCGAGAGCAAGAGAGCAGCGAAAGAAAGAAGGAGACATTTGAAAAAACAAAGTGAAGGAGAGCTTAGAGAGCTTTTTCGTCGTCTAACCGGGGAAGTGGACAGCTTTCGGCCACGTCAAGAAGAGAGCTGTTCCTGTCAACTTCGAAAGAGGGACAGACTCCATGCAGGAACATCCCAGCCTCCGATTCGTTTCTGAAAGTCTTGATGGCGTCACTGTGCGCCTGTTGCTCAAGTGGGAGAGGAGGGGAGTGCCAGAATGCCTGTTCGAAGCTTCGCAACGCTGCATTTGCATTTGAACAGGTTTCTTGGATCCCCACATGGGTTTGTCTCATGTTAGACATCCAAAACGTGGGATGTTTCTTATTGTTTTCTCTCTGAAACATCACAAAAGGTACCCTCAACAGAAACATGCACCCAAATGGCCAGGGTTTCTTCTTGCTTTCCGAGCTTGGCATATCTGCGTTGTTGACTGCGAGTCGTCTGAGGTTCGGCAGTTCCGGACCGACCTTTCTACAAGGCGATGGCCGGCATATCGCGGAACTGTCCGCTTTTGTGCATTCACGGCCCATTTGTTTTTCCCCCGAGGTGAGTTGGGGCTGAGGGTGTGCGGTGCGATGCTTCGACGCAACTCTCCACTTGAATTTGCTCTGAATAGGACCTCCAGGGCTGGTTTTGGAAAGAATGATGCTTGAAAACGAATGGCTTTGAAATCAACCCTAGAAGTGTCAAATTGTAAGTGCACGCCAGTGCACGCGCAGGTTGTCCAGGACAAAGATGGCCAGACCTACGCACAGGTGGGGGTGCCAGTGTACTGGGTGAAGTGAGTTGAGGGTTTCTCAAAATGGGTTCCTCTCCGGGGATTATTCTTGTTGGTTGCTTCCCTTCAAGAACCCTTTGGGTCTGTCTGTTTTTTTCGGGGTACCGTCTTTTGGGCGGCTGCAAAGAGAAGCCAAAGGAAACCATTGCCATTTTGGGGGGTTCACTAAAAGAAGACACACCCATTTAGGATGTCACTTGAATGGAGCCAGAAGTTCTGTACGTTGCAGGCCCCGTGGATTTTGGCCGAAGTACAGTTGCAACTATTTCTCCACTGGGCTGGATGCGGAATAATGTCAACTTTGGCATGATTCGGAGGACCAGACACATCAAGATGGTTTTTCTTTCCTCGGACTTGCTTGCTCCTCCTCGGTAGCATCCGATTTTCAGGTTTTTCCGTGGCTAAATTCCTTTGCACTCGGCAAGGGCGTGCGCTTGCAGACCGACAAGGTCGAGCGCGCCAACCGGCGGTTGCAAGCTTTCGAGGCCCGGGGGTGCACGGGGCCTTTCTGCGCACTCCATGAGAAACAAGCGGGGAAAAAAGACTTCAAGGAGCGAGCAAGCGAGTTGAAGGAGAGGTCTGCCAAGTGCCATCCCTTGCAACACACACCTGATCGCAAACAAAGAAGCCCCCAAGACCCACAATTCTGACCAATCTCGCGTGGGAAGAGCACCCGAAGGGGTTCTGGCCCTGGCTATCGGCGTGTTTCAGAGCCGGCTCACGGGCATGTTTGCGCGCAGGTCAAAGAAATGGACATTCAGACGGAAGGCCCCGGCGATGGCGGAGCTGAAGCAGAGGCAGATGTATGCAGTGGCGTTTCCCCGAGTGCCGACATAACTGAAAGCCAATGGTTCTGACATTTTGAAAGACCTTCTGGTTCCCTGTGTTGGAAACCAAAACGAAACCATGGCAATTCTTGGGTCTGCTTTTCATTCAAAAATACAGAAATGATAATAATTAGAAAAAACAAACAATAAGATGATAATCATAATAAAGAAGTACCACTTTCTTGGGTTCTAGACCCAGTAGTTCGAATCCAGGGTCCAAGCATCTCCTGCAAGCTTTCAGGCCATGGTGGATGAAGAGCAGCTGGCGAGGTTCCTGCAAGAGGTTGCACCTGTCATGGAGCAGGAGAGACGCGTTCGGGGGAAAGGGGTAGGGTGGTTGTTGCTCCACCACCAAGAAAGCACAAATGCATTCCCCGAGGCAATTGAGAAGCTTCAAGTATCTCAGGATGAAAAGCAAGGGGCAGTGGATACATGTAAGGATTTCTGTGTGTTGATGGCCATGCAAGAGGCGTCAGGCATTCAGACGTGTGTTGGCGCTTGCAGGAGCTTCAGTTGGCTTGGCGCTCCTTGAGCCTTGGCACGAGAGTTGTGGAAAATTAAGCTGGGTTTGGGTCAAAATGAAACCACCAGGGGACCGCAGGTTTTAGTCCTTGTTTCCATTTACTACCGGTTTTTTGCGTTTGAGTGCCGCTGTCTGTCATGTCTCTTGGTTGTGGGATTCAGTGCCACTGTCTGTCATACCAAGGGAATCGCCTTTAGGACAAACCAATGAAGATGGATCGCGTCTAGAAAAAATGGGGATGGATCATTTTGGGATCGCAGACAGAAAGCGTCTTTTCCCACGACCGTGGCAAGAGGTCGTGTGATGCCCTTCGGCAAGACTTTCCTCGGTGAAAGTCACATTCTGCGTGATTTGCGTTGGTCCATACATGAGGCCCGCACCCAAGGCTGTTCCATGTGCAGAGGACGGCACTTGCTTTTCGGATCGCCAAGAGCCAGCACGCCGCTTACCGGCCACAGGCCGGTCTTCGATGCGTACGTGCCCGTGGCTCAGCACGATGCCGGCAAAAGAGCACTGTCAAAGAGCTCATGCATTTTTGATCCAATCAGCTCTTGTCTTTCTCTTGGGCTTTGTAGGGAGGGTGCTTTGACTCTCGCTTTTGTGAAGGTCAAGGTGGTAACCAAGTTGCCAACGAAAGGTTCTGACGGGTTCTGACGGAACAGGGCTTGAGATCGAAGGATTCTCATCGAACAGGCCCGATTTTTTCTCTCTCCCGACATTTTGGTTCTGTTTCCAGTGACAAATTTTCTGGAGGGGCCGTGACCTTTTCCAGAGAAGAGGCTAGCCAATCACAGGGCTTCCAAATCCCCATTTCCAGTGCAAACATCCAGGCCTTTAGCTGGTTTCCAGGTCGGGTTGTGCTTTCCCCACCAGAAACACATGGCCGTGGGTCAAAAGTAGGTAGCTAAAATGGAACCCTTGTAAAACCTGGCTGTAAATGGACTGCAACTTGAACACATGGCTGTAAATGGACACACGGACTAAAACCCTGCGGTCCTCCAGTGGTCCAATGTTGGACCCATACCCCACGTCCTCGACTGCCGAGGCCAGTCTGGGACGATGTGGCGGAGACCTGCGAGATGACGCACCAGGAACGCGTCTCGCTCGGTGCCGTTTCGGCGGAGAGCGCGCGGACTCGCCCGTTTCGGGTCGGATCGGAGATCAGCTGTTCCGTAGGTTTGGTTTGGTTTTGTTTGGACGTTTGGGGAGGTAGCTCCCTCAAGTGGGACTGGGGTTGAAATCCCCAATTGGGGGGAAGCTGAGGAAACGGGGCGGTTTTTACAGGGAATTCCCAGGGGAATCGTCCATTCTTGCTCTGAGACAAGATGCGCCAAGTTGGAGCCAAGGGTGAAAAGCCAAGAGATGGCGGCAAAGGGTCAAGGGCTTTTGAAGAAGACAACCTCAGCTACAGAGGGTCTATGGGCGACGGTGTGCGGGGTGGAGCTAAGAAAGGTGTAAAATGAACGCAATGGCATGTTAGACCTTCACTTTGAACAAGAAACACGTGCCATGAACCTGACTGTATTGGCCTTTCGTGCTTCCCCCATCTATCAGGCTCAGCATGTCTGCAACGGATCAAGTGCAGGCTTAACATGCAATCAAACAATCTAGTTTGAATTGTTAATTCCAAATAATTAAAACGGCTTTAAAACAAGCCTATGTAAGTTCTTTGTAAACCTAGACAGCATATTCTGTCCTTATTGAATTATATGGAACATATGCCCAAAAAACAATCTGTTTGAACATTCAGATTCAACTAAGAAGTTTGATTACACATCGTGTTCGACAAGGAAATCCTATTTAAATTCTCTTTAAACCAGAAGCTCTACTAGGGTTTGTTAAAATCATATTTCAAATCTATTTTGAGACAAGAACTCCACTTGATCATTTGATGTTTCAACCCTTATCGAATGCTTTGAATTCCAAGCAAGTGAGCTTATTTGAACAAAAAATCAAGTTTCCAATGAAATTCATTGACCAAACACCTACAAGAAACAAGTCCGATTCCTATAACCGTGAGTCAGTAAACCCCAAACACTGCACCCTAAACCTGTCCATTCTAAGCTGAGGTTTGGTCAGAAGATGCAACATAGCAGCTATGTTGGAGCCAATGGCCCAAGAGTGAAAACGCAAAGAAGAACAGATATGGAGCTAATAGCCCCAAAGTAGAAACGTACAGTTCTGGAGCCAATGACCCAAAGGTAAAGAAGTAAGTTCAAAGACATTTGGGGCCAATGACCCAAAAGTTCAAACAAAAAAAAACACAGTGAATTTCTAGAGCCAGAGACCCAAAAGTAAAAAAGTAAAGAAGTAAAAACACAATAAACAAGTAAAACAAATAAACACATAAAGAAAATCAGCCCATGGTCCTGAAGTAAAATGCTTTGACCGTGGAGTTTTTTTTTTGTTTGGGTTTTGTTTAACCTCTTTTTCCCCAAAACCCCAAAAAAGGCAGAACACACTGCACATAGCAGTGAGTTCTGAAGGAAGGTAGATCCACATAGATATATTTTTGTATGCTATCCCCCGCGCAAAACCTAGGTTTCAGCAGTCTTCAAATGGATTGTTCAAAATAGACATTGTGATTGAAATCTGTGCTTATTATATTCTATTGTATTGTCTAATTGACTTTTCATGACAGTCATTTTTGGAAAGGAATTCATATTCAATTCATTTCATATTCAAAAGTCCATTAGCATTTAATCAAGTTTAATTTAAAGCATAGTTGGGAATGCACTAATTTCTACATGTTATGTTCAAAGGCCCATTGAGTTATTTTCATATTAAACTATATTTAAAATTGAACCATACTTGGGAATTAATTCTTTGCAGTTTTTATGTTTAAAGCCCAATTGAAGTCTGTCCGTATTAAATTATATCAAAACTCTAGTAGATGTTTCATTTGACTCCTATTTGGAGAGGATTTCCTATTTGAATTATAGTTGAACATAGAAAATTTGGCGAACTATGTCCTAAATTCTATTCAAAATTCCAACTCAAATTGAATTACAATCTCGGGAAAGGAATTCATATTTGGACATGGGTTCCGGGTTCCGGGTTCCAAATTCGGCTTCGGGGGCTTAAGGATTCAGATCTCCAGGTTCTAGATTTCAAGTGTTCCAAAATGGGAAAACTTCAAGGCAAAGGTCCAACATCTAATATATATATATGGTTCCGGGGGAGGGGGGGGTGCCAGACCTCTACCATATATATATATATATATCTATGTATGTATCAAAACAGCAGTTCAAGTTACCTTAGCATTTGTTCAGTCTTATTTGGACAGGAAAACACGTGTCATTCTATCTCAAAAGGTAGTAGATGAGATGTGGGAAAGGTAGTTCGTGGGGAGGTGTGAGTATACATATATACGTACATATGGTATCCCCCATGAACCTGCGCCTCTTAATAAAACACTGTAAAATACTGTGGTTTTGAGCATTGCTTCTGCCTTTTCTACCTCCTTAAAAAGGGTAACCATGAGAATAGCTTAGATTAAGCAAAAAGCTCACTAACAACAACTTAAGTGTGTTTCCACTGATCGCTCAAAACTTGAACGCATTCTACCACTCGATTGAAGATTCAAGATCCAATATTTCACGGAAACGCTTTCCGAGAATCTTGAATCCGGGCCACCCCAAAATGTGTTTTCCAAAAACTTGAACGTATTTTTCCACTGGATTCAAGATTCAAGATTTCAGACTTCACAGAAAAGTGTTTCGATAATCTTGAGTAAAACTTTGGGCCCGTTAAAAGTAAAAAGTACAAATCCCAAAAGTAAACCGTTTGTTACTTCATGCAGTTTAACGTTTGTACTTTTGCGCTGTAAAAGTAAAAACAACATGACAAGGAAAAGTAAAACCGCCAAAAGTAAAACAGTTTTAGTTTGTGCAGGGCGGTTTTACTTCTTCTCTTGTCTGCAGATGCTCCTGATGCGGTGAACTCAGAACGCTGGGAATTTCTGCATAACATGTTACAACAACCTTGCAACAATGCACGTGTTTCCATTTATGCAGTGAGCACACAACTTCAAACACATGCATCTTAGCAGCACCAAATGCATGTTTTTGTAGACACTAGAGCAAACACCCTGGACACATGATGATTTTCTATTTTGGTAGTAAAAGTGAACAAATACAAAGTAACAGAAACCAAGCAAATTGAAACAGTAAAATAGAAAACAAGTAAACATGTAGAATCTCTGCACCCATGAAAAGTAAAACAAAGTAGAAACGTAAAAATTAAAAGTAAAAATTTAAAAAAGTAAAAAAGTAAACAAGTAAAAAAGTAAACCCTAGTGTGTTTTTTTTTGTTTAATTTATTTATTTGGTTTTTGCTGTTTTACTTGTGTTTGGCTGTTTTGATTTTTCTTTTCACTTTTCATAAGTCCAGATCTTTTAGGTTTTTTTTTTGGGGATTTATTTTTCTTTTCATGGGTCCACATATTTTACTTTTTTACTTGTTTACAGTTTTATTGTTTTACTTTGCTTGGTTTCTGTTCCTTTGTATTGGTTCACTTTTACTACCAACATAGAAACATCATCATGTTTTCAGGGTTTTTGCTCTAGTTTCTACAGAAACATGCATTTGGCGCAGGTACATTGCATGTTTCTGGAGTTGTGTGCTCACTGCATAAATGGGAAAACAACGTGCATCTGTTGCAGGGTTTTTACAATTTGTTATGCAGAATTTACCAGTGTATGGACCTCCCTCCCGCAAAACCTAGGTTTTGTTTGGGGGGTACCATATATATATATATATGTATATATCAATGTGCCACATTGCGGCATGGCACACAGGCGGTCATCAAAGCTTTTGAGCAGTTGGCGCCCGGGTGGGGCATGTTCAGGTGTGGAAGGAAGGCCTCGTGGATCTACAGGCGGCCGCCGTTTGGTGGGCGTGTGGTTGGACGGCTTCAAAACAAATGCAGGAGGAAACCGTTGCAGGGAAAAGGAAGGGAGTGAGGACCCCACTTGCGGATCTCAACCGCATCTTGTTTTTGGGAGGTCGAGCTCCTGTTTTTGGGAGACTTCTGCTACCTTGCATTTTGACTCCTTCAAGGATCAATGAAATAGAGTTGGAGGGATTTGTGTCCACATGAACCTTTGGACCATGAACAATTATTAGCTCAGGAAATGCACAGTTGTTCTTTCTTGTTGGAGAAGAGCAATAACACGCAGCCAACAACTTCCTTGTTTACCTTTCTTGATGTTGTTGCATGATGAACGTTGAAGAACAGTAACTCGTTGCCAAGAACCATTTTGTTGCTGTTGAACAACGAAGATTGAATAATAGTACAACGCAGCCAAGAACTTCCACATTTGCTTTTATGCTTGTTCTTAGTTCATGTGCACTTCCATGTTTTGTGACAAGCATCAAGATTGCCCTACGGCCATTTCGAGACAAAGGGTGCGAAAAGGCCTTTGCCCGGGGCTGGGCGAGCTGATGCCGGAAAACCTGTAAAGGCTAGGCCTCGGTTGGGACGTCCAGAGGTGGGACCCGTGGCGTCTGGGTTTGTGATGATATAAATGGAATCCACCACTGGTTTATGACCTGACTTTCATTCATCAGGGGCGAAGTAGATCCTGTCCATTCGCACAAAACACCCTTTTGGTCACAGAACGGAAGCCATGCAACTGCCCTCTTGGGTTCCTGGTTTCCATGCAGAATTCATCCTCTTTTTGGTTGGAAGTTTCACGGGAAAAACAAACACACACACACACACACACACACATTCACACCTTTGAGACCACAGTTTTGTTGAAACCTCTTTGGTCGTCCTTTCCTCTGGCCAATGGGAACCACCGGTTTGAACATGGAGGCCAGAGGTGAATGGCCACCTTTTTGGTCGATGGAAACCGTTCACAGGTGAATGGAGAACCCGTCAGATGGACACCTTATCCAAAATCTGGAAAACTGGAAAAACAAAACACACACACACACACATCAGCCTTCACAGATTCTTTTGCTGAAAACCCAAAAAAACCACCGGTATGGAAACCTCTGGTTCTCGTCATATTATGAGCCACAATCCGGGTAGATGAAGGTTGGTAAGGGACAATCCCCTTGCCATAAATAGCTGCGGACATCCGCCTTCTTAAAGCCTTACATGGTTTTGGGATTCCCATTTCAGTACTGGGTTATTGTGACTCACATGGGTCGTGCTTTTTGTTGAAGGCAGCCCTTTGGGATGGCTCAGGGAAACCCACAAAAAAACCACCAAGAGGAAAGCGAGCGGTTGGACTTCGCCAGGTCACCAGCGTGGCTTGGAACTCCACGGGGGCCACGCTGGCCTGCGCCTTCGGCAAGCTGGACACGCCCCTCGGAAAGCTAGTGGCTGTGGGTTAAATAGGTACCCAAAATGGAACCCTGGTAAGTGGCAGCATGGACCAAAACCTGTGGTCCCCTGGTGGCTGAATTTTGACCCACACATGAGCCACTTGCTCAAAAGCCGGGTAGGTGGAGGTTAGTAAGGGGCAGTCCCAGCCAGAAATAGTTTTGGATATCCGCCTTCTTAATTCTTTACATGGTTTTGGGTGGACCAATTTAACAACGGGGTTGGATTGTGAGGGCGCGTCTTTGGGTTGAGTCCGGGTAAACAGAAAGGCGAGCCAGGCTTTTCTTTGGGAGGGTCCCATCCTGAACAAGACGCACCCAGATGGAAAGAAAGAACACATTTTCCCTTTGGTTTCTGAAGAAATGTCGGAGATTGCTCAAAAGGGTCTTCAAATATCCCTTTCGGTTGGTATTTGAAGGGAAACCCAAAGGAAACCAGGGCCCTATTTTGTGAAACACCCAATTGGGTTTGTGCCATGACTTTCATTTCAAGGGGATGAGTAAGAACAAATACCCATGTGTAGGTACACTCAAACGAGGACTCCATCAAACAGATGGGTGTGTCGTTTTCCATGTTTGAGTGGTTGTAAGGAAAAGCCAAAAGGAAAACCGAAGCCATTTTGGCGGGTCTAACCTTGAAAAGAAACACACCCATATGGGTTTGTGTGCGAAGGGGCCAAAGCGTCAAATGTGGCAAAACTGTTTATTTTTATTTTTGATTTGCCGCAGCCAGCCCCCGGGTTTGTCTACAGAGAGAGCCCAGGACTGAGTTTGTGGGGTCGTTATCTCCAAGACAACCAAAAAGAGCCCATGCAGGATCAGTTTTTCTTAATTGGTGGGTTGGATTGGTTGTTTCGAATTTGAACCTTTGGTTCTTGTAGAGACATTGGAAACCACCCTGAAATACCAAACCACGGTCTCCAAACCAATTGGAAGGAAGCTACCAATTGAAAGGAAGCTAATGGGAGGTTCCCTTTGAGACAGACGCATCTTCAGTCATTTCTCCAAATGGTTCCGAGTTTTTTCAGGGTGGGCCATTTCGGTTGGTCTTTGTCTTCCTCCCCGACGAATATTGCTGGCGTTTGAATTCAACATTTTCATGAGGTTCGTTGAGACAGCCCACAAAAGCCATGGTTCTAAGTCTCCGTTCAGTGGGTTATCTCACCAGCACTTACATGACATGTACCGAATCGATCGCCCCTTTAAGCAGGGTCCTTTGGTTTCCCTTAAACATCACTCGAACTACATCAAACATAATTCGAGCTTGCAATGGTTGAGCCCAAGGCATTGAGACCTGAAGCCAACCCAAAGCTGTTCTAAGCCCACCCTAAACGAACGAACACGCCCTAACCAAATAAGCATTCCAGGAGTTCACCCTCAATACGCGAAGGAACAGCCAGCGCCCAAACCTGCAGTCTTTTTGATTTCGGAGGGAACCCTCAGCCCCTGTTTTGCAAGCCTAAGCCCAAACCTGCAGAAACCACCCCACACCACCCCAAATCGCCCAGTGGCAGCTTTTGCCAAGGCTCGGATGGTGTGAAGTCACAGCGCCCGTCTGCCTTTGGAACATTTTCAGGCGCGAGAAAACGTGCGCATGAGTTTGGTGCTTGCGGGGTCGGTCGATGATTAAAAAAGTGAGGTTCGGGGTGATGCGAACCAAAACTAACATCTATTCCGGCAATGTTGTGTGGATGAATGTGCGACTAAGTGAGCCACAATCAAAACTCGGGTAGATGAAGGTTGGTAAGGCAGTCCCAACCAGAAATAGTTGCGGCCGCCTTCTTAATTCTTTAGATGGTTCTGGGTCGACCATTTTCATACCGGGTTTTGATTGTGACTCAAGTGAGGTTGTCTTTTGCGTGTTGCTTGTCAGTCACTATGTTTTCATGCGCAAAGTAGACGCGGCCGACTGGCAACGCCACGGCTTGCTGTCTTCACTACAACTCACTCAGAGACATTAGGACCGTTTATACCCAGAGTCTGAGAATTTCCACACCCGCGGTATTTTTGTGGTACCCTCACGGCTTCCTTCAAAGCCAAAGGGGGGGCGATAATTTTTGCAGCCCAAAGTCATCTAGAAACTCCCGGGGCGATTTTCCCCCGAGTTTCCCCCGGGCTTTTTTCCGGGCCCCAGATCTTCCCCCAGTTTCCCCTCAGGTTTTTCCCGATGTGCCCCGAGCCAAAAAGTGAAGCCCTTGGGGTTGACTCGACTTTTTGACTTCCCGCGGCAGGCCCCAGCTGGTGGCTGGGGAGCCGGACACCGTGATCCAGGTGCAGGGCTTCGTGATGTGCCCGGGTGCTCGGGGGTCGGCTGGTCTCGGGGGCTAGGGGGCGGCTGGTCTGGGGGCGTTCGGGGGTTCAGGGGGGTCAGGGACGGCTGTTTTTTTTTTTTTTTTGTGTGTGTTTTTTTTGACAAGCACTAAATGGTAGATCAGACCGCTTCGCCGCCCTTTTCGCCCAGTGCTTGACTTGGAAAGGAGACTCTGCACTCATGACTGCATGTGCCTTGATCAAAACACCCTTTTGGGTAAGGTCGGGATGGCGATGAACTCCTTAGATAGTTTCGACTGCCGTATCAGATGGGTCTTTCACCCACAATTTTTCAACCAGATAGGACACCCGGTCAACATTACATGAGCAACAACATTTACTGCCATAGATGGGTGAAGGGGATGAGATGGGGCACACGACAAAAGCGTGGCTCACCTCAGTCCCATGTGAGTTGACGCAACCGAACCATCAGGCTGACGGAGGGGTTTTGAAAGACTTTTTCCTCTTGAAAAGGCTTCTTTCTGCCCGCGTCCATGATTGTTAGAGGGAATTGGCTCGCAAATGCAATGGGAGCGTCCCGGTTTTTGGTTTGGCAAGGTGTGGCCTTTCACCCCACCAAGCCCAGCATCTTGGCTGGCGGTACCTACAACGGCGAGCTCCAGATTTGGCCTTTGCCTCAGACGTTTTTCTCGGTTCGCCTGTGGAAAACCATGAACTTTGTCCGGGGCTGATGTCTTGAGAATGGGTGGGTGGCCTTCCTTTCAATGCCCTTTTAAACCACCCCAAAAATTGTACCCCGTCAGCAGCTCGCTTACAACCCTGATTGATGCAGTGGATGGACGAACCTGCACCGCTTTGAAACCATGGTTGAACCATTGCTTGTTGGTATTTACAGGATTCTGAGTTCGGTGGTGCGAAATGGACTTCGTCCATCCACAGTAGCTTAAGTGTCTGGGTATCCCTTCGGCGGCTGACCCAGCCAGACTACAACCATCCACAGGGGGTGGGACATTTAACAGGGGAACCTTCACTCGGCTGGGAGTATTCGTATTCGGTTGTTTCAGATTTCCACCAGGTGCAGTTGGCCCCCTCTCAAACATGTTTGTTGGATAGATGATGTCTATCAAAGAGTTCCTAGTCGCAAGTCATACTTCGGTTCCCAGTCGCATGTCTATCCAAGCGAATCCGGATTACACATTTTCTGAAACAAGGTTTGGTGGGGACCCCCCTTTCTCCTACTATCCCATGAAGTTTCTAAACATGGAAAAGCCAACCCTTTTGTTTGGTGTTCAAGGAAAACCACGAGTAAACCCAGCCCATTTTTCGGGGGCAGACCACAACGCTGGTGGGTAGAGCCGATTTTCGGGGGCCGATTCCTATGTGGCGTGTCTTTTTTAAAGTTTGGACCCCCAAAACGATTTCGGCTTCTCCTCTTTGTTTCCCTTCACAAACACCAAAAAGGGTGGAAACCAACTCCGACAAATGACGCGCCCATTCCCAACACCGGTGGGCAGAACCGATTCCTATATGGCCATGGGGATAGCCTATGGCGATCCCATTTTGGGGTGGATGAACATCCATTTGCCACCTATTGTGATGTTCATCAGGGGTTTCCTGGGTCAAAAGACCCACAGCCATATGGAGCAGGCCTGAAGTTTTTGTTATTTCGCGGCTCAGGAACACAGGCTCCGGGGAACTCGACCCCTTGGTGGCCTCCTCCTCCATCGACGACTACTTCCACCGCGAGGCGGGTTTGGGGGCCGAGAGCCGAAGCGGTGGGGGGGTGGGTGGGTGGGTGGGCGGGTGGGTGGGGCGGGCGGGTGGGTGGGCGGGTGGGTGGGTTCCCTATTCGATGTGAGCCAGGGTCAGAATGTGCAGCTCCGACAAATCAACAATTGTGAGCCTCATGGAACCACGACAACCTCCATACCCACCCCTGCCCTTAAGACTGAAAAGCTTTCTGCTTTACGGTACTGGCGTGAGCTTCTTTTTGGTGGGCTTGTCCCAAAATGGAGAAACTCCCTCTCCCCAAATCAAATGGCTAGTCTCCTTCTGATTTTTCCCCAAGGCACTCAGACACACCCGCGGTATGGCACGAGCCGCTCTTTTCTGCGCTTGGGCTCAGCTACGCACAGCTTAGGCTCTCATTTGCAGCACCCTAGCGGTCGGCTGCCTTGTTCAGACCAGCAACTCACCATGTGGCACAGCTGATTTCAGCCCTCTGAACTGAAATGATTGAAGTTGTGGAAGGCAAACGCTGGCAAACTCCGAGATGAATGCTTGAATGGCTTGTCGTGTGTGCGCGATTCACACGAACCGATTCGCCTTGAGCCCTTGCGCCATGCTGCGGGTCGCTCCGATGCTTTCCGCTGGCGCTGGCGTGCGAGAGGGTCCGCTGAGTTCGGCGACAGGCGAGCGACGCGTAGATCAGTCGACTGATGGACGGAACCAAACAGGTTACCCAGCTTGGTTCTTGTCATCTTGCCAAGCCATCAAAATTGTTTCCCCTTTTTCGCCTCTTTGGGTAGAATCCGTCCCCTCTCCAAAAAAACAAACCATAGGTTTCCGACCAGAAAGCGCAACCTACCAAAAAGCCCAAGGGGGCGGTTTTCTTTGCTTGTTTGCTCGGCACCCCGTGCTTTTGTACTGGAACTTCCAGGCCTCCGAGGCCCAGCCAGAGCCCATGCCCTGGGCCCGCGGAGCGCGGGGGCCGTGCCAAGCGCCCTGGCGCGCGGCGCTTCGTGCCTGGGGCTCGTGGTCTTGGCTTCGGCGCGGAGGGCGAAGATCCGCGGCTCGGAAGGAGCGGCTGGAGGTGTGCTGGGAAATGGTCCGGGTGGGTCAAAACTAATGGAATTCCATTCTAGGTGAATTCACCCAGTTGAGAACCCAGTGGTTGGATTGAATCGGATGTTCACTGGGGGTACGGGATTTTTGGCTTTTGAAAAGCCCATGGCCAAATGGTCCAGGTGGTTAGAACCGTTCAGCTGGGTATCCACGTTCAGCCTTAGACATTCCGTCGGAGCTACCAGGAGTGTCAAGATGGCAGTTGTGGGAGGCAGTTCATGCGAGTCTTTCTCTTTTTTTGTTTCGGAAGGATGGCCGAAACCAAAGAAAGTCCAGGAACCTGGGGACAAATTCGGGGATGGTGATTTTTTCGGGCGTTTCAGTAGCCGTGACTGGAGAACTTGATTCCTTTCGGGTCCAGATTTATTTGTTTAATTTTCGTTCCTTTAATTGTTCACTCCCTGTGCTAGCAAAGCAACATGCACTGACTTTGCAGCGCTGTCAAGATCTCGGCATCGCTTTTACGTCCCCGGTATCGTTTTGTACGGGGTTATGAGTTTGGGGTGGGCTTTACATTCTTTTGGGGTTCGCTCACCAAGCCCCATAAAGAAGCGGGGGGACACCAATGAAGAAAGTGCGGGATTACAAACAGGTGTTCTGACAAACTGAGAAGGTAAACAACCAAGAACCCAAGAAGCCAAGGAGCCAAAACGGCACCACCCAAAAAGCCAAAAACAAAAAAGACAGTGATGCTGAGAATGTTACTGGTGATGCGGAGGCCACCAAGCAAAACACTTTAAAAAGGCCACAAAAGCCAAAAAAGCAGGCCAGAGAAAAAACAGCAACACCTATCAGGAAAAGAACGGGGGGTTTTGGGGGCGGTTTTGTGGAAATGGCTTCAGATGGCTTGGCTTCGGTCTTTTGGGGATTCGGACTGGTTGCAAGTTACCCCTGGCCGACCATCTCTTGAAGCCAGATCTAAGGCCGGGCCTCCCTGACGGTCTCTGCGCCAGCTCCGGCGGTCGGGGAGGCGGTCGATGAACTCGCCATAGCTCCTTTGCTTGGGGATCCTTTATTTGGGTGTGTCCTTTTTAGGGACCCGTCAAAACGGTGGTTCTTCCAAAGCCGCCAAAAAGGGGGTTCTCCAAACGAGACACACACACACACACACACACACCTTCTCAAGGTTTTGGAATTGCAACATTTGCAGACCAGTTGACTTTGTTGCCTTTCCTCAAATTCCCCCCACCACCTCCTTTTCCCCCCCTCCTCCTCCTCCTCCTCCCCCTCCCCCACCATTGTCCCCCTTCCCCCCCAACCGCCCTCCCCCTTGGCAGCTCCACAGGCGGAGCCATCAGCGGCCGAGCCGCGGCGCAAGCTGCGGCGCCTGGTGGACCGCTGGCGCGCGGAGGACGGGGAGGCCTGGCAGAGCCTCGTGCCTCGGCGTCTTCCATTGCCTCTGCCGCCGGCGGCTGTTCAAAGGCCATCCGCAAGATCCTTTACTTTGGTTTACGCCAGGAACCGGTCTTTTTTGTAGTGGCTTCCCTATTGGGAATCCTCTATTTAGAACAGCCCAGGCACCCAGATCGCTTTTTTGGGAAAGAGAGAAGGATCGCGCCTGAAAGAAAACACCGGCCATGGTTTGCAGGGCCGCGAGTTTGGTGAGTGATAGGTAGGGAATGAACGTTCCGGGTGTTGGGAATGAGCCAGTTTTGAGGATTCCCGAACAAAGGAAACCACAGGGAATGGTTTACGAGGATCATTCCATTTCTCATTCCCTGAAAACAGCAAGCCACATGGGTGGCTCGTCCTTTTTTGAGGCTCAGAACCTTTTTGGTGGTTTTACAGCACAAGGCAAAAGAAGAACCACTGATTTGGGGGCTTCTAACAAAGGACACACCCATATTCGCGTGGAATTTTGATGTCTGTTTCGGGTTCCCCTTGGGCATGTCAAGGGAAACCAAAAGAAAGACAACTGGGCGTGGCTCATGTTTTGGAGCGTACAGCATACCTTGTTTGGTACCACAGGACCTGGACCGATTCCTTTGAGACCCAAAGCACCGATCGCAGCCAGAATGTTGCTCCGGGCCCAAAGGGCCTACATCAAAATTGGGGGAGCCCCAAGGTCGTGTTCTGTTTTTAGGGCACCCCTGAACAAAAAGACAGCAACAACAACAACAAAACAAAAAAAGAAGGACGTTTTCTCTTTGGTTTGCCTGCACAACCAAAAGGGATATGCTCCAAAAACAAAATAGTTGGTTTCCTTTTGGTTCCCTTCAAACAGGGTCCTCCACCAGAGGGCCCCATCCCGGGGCTCCATGTTGTGATTGATGACTAAGACTGTCGGTGCCTTTGTTGTTTCCATGCCAGATGCCATTTCCAAGTGTTTTGTTATTTGGTTGGGACTGGTAGTTCTGGATCTTGACCCTTGGCTTTCGACCATCATTTTCTGATCCGAGGCACTGACAGCAGTTCTCTATGTCTCCGCAGTTGCCTGGGTGCATGTGAGCGGTGGAAGTTGGTTGGCCATCATCTTTCTGGCGCTTTGCCTTGTGCGCGCGTTCATCGTGTTCCACGACGCAGCGCATCTGTCGTTCTTTGAGACCCCCGAGCACAACAAGACCTTGGGTCAATTTCTGCGACTTGGGTGCCAGCCATGCGCTTGCGACGTTTAGTTTGTCTCTTCAGTGTTTAGAGGGATGTGTGACATATCCAACTTGACCCCGGGTTAAAGTACTTGTCCTGTTAACAGGGGTTGTTGCGAACAACCCTTCCAAAAGTGATGAGTCCCCACCTCATTCAACGAAGGGTGTATTCATTTTCGGGGCTCCGATTCAGGAACCACTCATCAGGTAACCCTTAGTCGTGGTGTGGATTGTTGGTTTGGGGATGTGACCCTCCCTGGTTCTTGCGGGTAAATGGGAAACTCCTCCTTAACCACCAAACCACCGATTCGGTTCCAAGCCACCGAACAACGCGGGAAGCTGAACTCAGGCAATTTATCATCAACTACAGCCTGGAGGAGTGGAGCACCATCCACAATTCCCACCACACCCACTTTGGCCGCCTGGCAAAGGAGACATCGCCTGGGATGGGTTTTTTTGGATTTGAGGGGCTTTTGGACTGTCTGTTTGAGTTCGTAGCACCCTGGAACCTACCCCTTAAGCCAAACAACAGAGTAAACAAGGGGCAAGTACGCCCTACATACTTATTTGTATGTTCCCTGGGGTTTGGTTTGGGGGTCAGTGGGTAAGTCTTGGACATTTTGAGATGTTCATCTTGCCATGAGGCGATAACTCGGTGCGAGACAACTCGCTGACCATCTGGTTTTCGGAGCAAGAGCTCTCTGAAGCGCCCTGGTATTTGCGGCTGGTGCACCGGATCATTCGAGATCCGAGTCTCGTAAGCAAGTTTTTTGGGCCGCAATCCTGGGTTGCGGATAGCCATGTGCGCATGACTGGGTCGACAGGTTGTGATGTTCGCGTTTATTGGATGTCAGGGATCCTAGCAACTCCCAAAAGTTATCCTGCCCAAGCACACAGGCTGCATCATCCTAGTTTGGCACCTTATTTTCCATCGGGGAGTCTTTGGGCGGTTGGATTGCAGTTCTGCAGGATTTTTGAGGAATGCGTGGGGCAACGGAGGGGCAACGGACCTGAGGATCGTGTTCTATCCGCTGGCCGGGCTTTTCGTGTGAGGGCCCCAGATTTGACACGAGTGTAGAAGAGCCACCGTCTGGAAAGAAACACCTGAATGGATGCTTTCCCAAAAGCAGTGGGCATTATTGCCACGGTCTCTCTCTCTCTCTCTCTCTCTCTCTCTCTCTCTCTCTCTCTCTCTCTCTCGCTCACTCTCTCTCTCTCTCTCTGTCTTTGCGCCGGTTGCCCAATCTGTTTAAAAGCGGTGGGCCCTCTATCGTTTTATTGTAAGATTACTACTTGCTTGAGTCATCAAGGGCACCCG